CGGCGCGTCGCTACTTCCAGAAGCTCGCCTCCGCCCTCCGATTCTGCCACCAAAACGGCGTAGCTCACCGAGACGTGAAGCCGCAGAACCTGCTCCTCGACAGAGAAGGGAACCTCAAGGTCTCCGACTTCGGCCTCTCCGCCTTGCCGGAGCACCTGAAGAACGACGGCTTGCTCCACACAGCGTGCGGTACGCCGGCTTACACGGCACCGGAGGTCGTGACACGGCGGGGATACGACGGCGCGAAGGCCGACGCGTGGTCGTGCGGCGTCATCCTCTTCGTTCTCCTCGCTGGGTACGTCCCCTTCGACGATTCGAACATCGTCGCCATGTACAGGAAGATCCACCAGAGAGATTACCGTTTCCCGAATTGGATCTCGAAACAGGCTCGATCCATCATCTACCAGATGCTCGACCCGAATCCGGAAACAAGGATGAGCATAGAAACCGCCATGCGAACTTCCTGGTTCAAAAAATCCCTAGAAACCTCCGATTTCCGTGGAAGCATCTTCGAATCAGATCTGTTCCTCCACAAAGAGGCGAAATCAGCCAGCGACACAATCACAGCGTTCGACATAATCTCTCTTTCCTCAGGATTAGATCTCTCGGGGCTGTTCGAAAGGAAAAGACGGATGGAGAGGAGATTCACGGCAAGGGTGTCGGCGGAAGGGGTGTTGGAGAAGGTGAAGGAGATAGGAGAGAGGTTAGGGTTCGTAGTGGAGAAGAAGAAGAACGGAGGAGCGGTGGTGGGGTTGGGGAGGGGGAGGACGGCGGTGGTGGTGGAGGCTGTGGAGATAACGGCGGAGGTAGTGGTGGGGGAGGTGAAGGTGGCGGAGGGAGACGAGGATGAGGCACGGTGGTCGGAACTGATTTCAGAGCTTGATGAGATCGTCCTCTCATGGCACAATGATACCATCTAAAATCTTTCCCCCTTTTTTTTCCTGTGTAGATTAATTTTGCAGCTCCTTACCTTTGTGTATGAATATCAATATATGATGAAAGATCAGTTTTAAAAGTCTTCGTCTTCCTTAATCTTTCCCGCGCGAAATGAAACCTCTGCAAACATAACCATAATGACTTCTCAAAGCATATAAGCATATATGCGTGCATCAAGGGTGGTCCTGGGTGGACACGGTCAGATATCCGAGTTTCTCTTTCAGATGTCCGATCTTGATCTTGATCTTGTTCTCTGAGTTTTATGTTATCCGATCTCGACCTTACGAGGAGCATGTATCCGAGCTTTGGATACCCGTGGAGAGCAGCAGCGGGGCTCCCCTCGCCCTTGCCCTCACCTCCTCTACCCTCAGCTCAGATACCTGCGGATTCAGATTTCATAGCCTGGCGAACCCGAACTCGAATAATCGGCCTACCCACACCCGACCCGATCTCACACTCGCCAAAAACTTGGGTTACCGAACTTCGGACCCCCACGGCCAGCCCTACTTATCATCCATGACTTGCAAGGTCCGGTTTAAGGCCAGCCTCTTTCCTTTATTTTACTTGTCATCGACCATTGTTCCCATACATATGAATCATCGTATTGAAAGTCACGGCCGTCGGAACAATCCCTTCTCTCTGCACCCTCAAGAACATCTTCGATGCCCCTTTTATTTTCCCTGCCTCACCATATGTATCGACCATCATGTTCTAAGCATAAGTACTCAAATGAACACGACCACTGCAACTTCGTTGAGATGCAGCCCGATCTATCTTTCCATAGGTAGAACTAATCGGCTCGACCCCTTTCGTCCTATCAACTCTGCCCGTTTACATGATTTCCCGAGAATCCGAAGCATATTGTTGTAATGAATCACGTTCAATTCGCAACTATCCTTGCTCTTGAACCACTTGAAAGTTTACATGGCTCTCCTCCACCGTGTTTGCTCCTTCAGTATGATCGTCCTCTACTTGATGCCCAGATCCTCCCCGATGCTATCCAACTCTTGTACAATCGCCGGAATACATCCACCGTAACTCAGCCGTTTCGTCGAACACTTGGTATGCGCTTTCTCAACCATGCCATTCCCATCCAACCCACCATCCCCAATCCTCTTATCATAGAATCCATCACTACCCTTCCATTCTCAGGCCCGTTCGACATCTGAGTTCTCGACAAAGTCCGGGTTTCCGACACGAAATTCGCGGACAACAATGCCGTTTCTGTGACCGCCCTGTTTCGTGCTGCCTCCGTCGTGTCTCTTCTAACAGTCATGGCTTCTGCGTATGAAACTCCGCTTGATTTTTCTGATTGCCATGGATTTCTCGAGATGGGATACTCG